GCGGCCAGCGGCGCGCCGCCCAGTGCGCCGCCGCCCAGCGCGCTGCCCCCGTGGAAGTAGTCCTTGTTCACACAGTTCCGCAGGCAGTCAGGGATGCGACCTACGATGGCGCGCCGTATCTCTGACGCGGCCATTTCACGTAGCTCCTGTGCCGACGCGTCCGAATAGAAAGCCGCATGTGGAGTACACAGCACGTTCGGCGCGTCTTTCAACGGGCCCTGCAACACAATACGTAACGTTACATTCATTCTCACTATACTACTGAACAAGACAGTGAATTATACAAAATGGATATTACTTGAACATTTGAAGATTACTAAAACAAATTTTTTTATATATAAAAGAAGTAATGAAAGTGGTGTTATAATATTGTTATAAAAATGTTAGAAGAAAATGTAGAAAGAACGAAGAAGGTAAGCAATTTTTACTTTGAGTTCAAACCACTTTTATGCCAATTTGAAGTTATGAAATGGGTATGTGTATAAAACAAAATACAACAAAGGTACATACTTGGAACACGTTGAAGGGTTCATTCTCATGTACGTCGAGTGCGGCAGCCCTAATGCGACCCTGCTTGAGCGCGGCGGCCAGACCTTCGTCGTCTACTAACCCACCGCGCGCCGTGTTCACCAAAAACGCGCCTGAAACACAAACGACACATTCTTGTAAGTATTATGATTTATCCTTATTTTATTAGTGGAATTTATGTTATCTTACAGTTAATAAATGCCAACTGGCAGCTTTGCCATATTATATGGCAATGATTATCCAGTTATCCTTTAACTGAGATATTAAACAATTTTCTTAACTTCCTAAATACTTAATAAATACATATTATTATAATAAAATCGTAGGCAAGTCAAAACTGTACATTGATATTTTTTTAAAAGAATACTCAGGGCGTGATCTACAATCGATATCCAAGCCAAAAACATAATTTTAAAATCTTTCCTGTTTGCCTGTATGTATTTCCGTGCTGAACACAAAAAGCATTGCATGGATTTCCTTGAAAATTTGCATGAATATTGCTAACAAGTGGGGTCAACATATAGGCTAAATATTACCACGCTATCACCTATAGGGGAGGAGCTGTGAATCTTCACTATTCCACTCCACGCGGATGAAGCAGACATAACTAGTTGTTAAATAATTTTCTTTCTCTATAGAGTTCTGTTTAGAATGTAATATTTACCTGGGCGCATCTGTTTAATGGTGAACTCGTTGATGAGGTGGTGATTGTGTTCGTTTAAGCTGCAATGCAATGATACACAATCACTTTGGAATAGGAGGTCCTGAAAACAAAATACATACATATTTTAAGACATTTCACCATAATCTCTATAAAGTTTTTATCAGTATTTTTTGTGATTTCTGTTTTTCATTTATTTCATGGCCTGATTGGCATCACATTATAATTTTTAATTATAAGTTTGAAATCGCTAATCCGCATCGAGCAAGCATAGCGATTAATGTTGAGCACCTTCTCCGTGAGAGAAGAGGCTTTGCTCTGCAGTGCCTAGCATTTATAGGCTGTTGACTGTTGATATATGTTGATGTACATGGCCTGATTGTTTAATTTATATGAAGAATCAATCCATTATGACCATTTCTAAATACATATCTGTATTTATCTAGAAATTTTGTTACAGAAAGAGGTTAATAAAAAGCTTTCGGGTTTGACTTTTGAAAACCCATGTCTTAAGAAGCTTGTAAAACTGTTGGAGCTAGTGGGCAGTAACCACTGGTAACGAAATGACAAATTAAAATGGTTGATTTACAGGATTTGGAACGAACGACCGATACCTCTGTTGATTGTTACCATTGGAAACACCTTAATCAGCCCCAAAAAAAGTACAAATGTTATTATAGAAGAAGGTATAATTTACCTGAAGTGTGTAGACCCTGGTTAGACCGAGCGACTTCTCAATGCCGTCGGGCAGGTAAGGGTCGTAGAAGATGACGTTGAAGCCGAATGCCTTGGCCCTGAGCGCGACAGCTGAGCCGATGCGGCCCAGCCCCACGATGCCCAGCGTGTCGCCTCGGATACGTGCGCAACCTGTCGCTGCTTCACGCACCTGCTCCGGTCCTGGAAAAATATAAATGTTATAAAACTGTGCTCATGCGCATTTGTGCTCTGCTTTGTACTACATGACGTAATCGTAATCTACATGAAATTGAAGCACTGAATTATATTTTTGTTGTAAACATTTAATAATTATTATTTATGTACTTCAATAAATAAATTATTTAATGAAACTGGCAAACTGCTTTCATTTGAAACCTATCTAGTATATTCAATATACTGTCATGGTACACATTAGAAAACAACGTCAAGCAGAATTCCTTGGGTCATAAATAAGTGTAATATTCAGTGCCTTTAGCCAAACGCCACTCGCGCTTGTCTACCGAGAGAGTAGAAAACTAAATGTATGGGAATGATACTGACAAGTGTCAAAATTTACATCAATTCCATATAATTTGGTTTTCTACTCTACAAGTAGACAAGCGCTAAATGGCATTTGGCTACAGCTGCTGGATACATAACTATTGCATTGTAACTACGCAACGTTATCACTGCATATTGTAACGTACAATGTATATGAAAATAAATGGCTTGGATAATAACAATATTTATAGGTTGCACGTGTCTGGGCGTAGTAAAGTAATTCATTAGTACATTAGTATGGTGTTATTATATTTCAAGGCCAAACATTCCGACACGTTGTCTTATTACTAGCATTGGGAAGTAATTGTTAAGTCTTTTGTGATACCGACTATTTTGACTCACAGACATGTATACTGTATAGACTTTTGATTATGAAACCGTTATTTTTTTTAAGTTAAGAACACGATAACACTGAAAGTGTTATACGAAAAAACTTGTAAAAACTATGTAGGCTTACCTGTGAATTTTTTCCCTTCCCGTACCATGTTCGCGAGCCAGTACGTCCGCCGATATAAGTTCAATATGAGACACATTGTGGTGTCTGCTACTTCTTCTACACCGTAGCCTGGTACATTACATACCGCTATGCCTGAAAAGATCAAAGCATCGTATTAGTGCTATGCAAAAAAATCGTTTTAGCTTAGTCCTAACTTTATTTTGATTGGTGGTTGATACACCATTAGTTGATATAAGAATAAATAAGGGAGAACAACCTAATCTGGAATAAAACGACTAGAAAATGTCCTATATCCTTTAAAATGTCCTAATTACCCTAGTTGCTGTATATAGCAAATTAAAGTTTTAAATCACATAAAGTAGTCCTCATTCACGGCTAGTCTCATTAATCTGATATAGATTTGGTTCTTACAAGGTAATTTGTTTTACTTTAGCAACCAAATCTAATGATACAAAGATTTATTGCGATTATCCGTGAGCAAAAAAGGCAGTACATTAATATAGTATTTGTAATTGTATGAGACTCACCTAGTTCACCTGCCGCTTTGACATCAATATTATCAACACCTGATCCGATACGAACAATGATTCTTAACGCCTTGAACTTCTCGAGGTCCTCCTTGGTCAATATGATGGTGTGCCACATTAGTGCACCCACTGCTTCGTTGAGCACCTTCTCGTGAATCTCTGATGTGGACTGTGCGTCGCAGAACGCCACTGTCGCGACATCTTTCAGTATCGGCATCTCGACTGTACAGTCGCGTCCGTCTAGTAACGCCACCAAGGGCCTGAAAACACAAACATAATTCATTAGGATGCTGTACACTTTCTAAGGACGGATGCACAAAATAAAAGAAAGTTATATTATATCTCAGTAACTAGTAGGGTCTGTGCCTTGTGCCAATTGTCGAATATTGAAAACGCAATGGCATATTGTCCGACACGGGCATCAAATTCGAGCACGTTTATATTTCCATTTTTACTCCCATTTTGATGCGAATATATAATTAAACAATTATTAAAGTACAAACTCGTTAACAATTTTACAACTAACTTCATGCAAAGTTAGTTGAGAAGTTAGCCATGTTTAAAGATAACATAACATTGCTGAAACTGTATAGTTGTTCAAGTATCAAAGTTTCTTAAACTTTAAGTTTATAGTTAGTAAATTAGTTAGTTTTAAAATATATAAAAATTTAATCAAGATTATTATGTGGGACATTAAGAATAGAAATGAGATATTTTCTTTGAAATATGTTTTATATGACATTATAATCTTAATGTGGTGTCAGTTGTCCAATATGTTAAGCAAGGAGAAAGCACGTTCATCGTGTTCGCAGTTAACCGCAATAAATAACATCATAAAGCAGTATAATGACGCAAACGTTACATAAAACGTGATAAAGAATGCGTAACATTTATCAATCGTATCGAGCAACCATTCATACTCATGAAAGCAAAATAAACTGTATTTCATTTTTACACGAATTAAGTTTCTAACCTCGAGCAATTGAACCTAGTTATCAATAATAGTCTTTAGCCACACTATTAACGACTATGAAATTCTACTTAAAGTACAAAAACGTTTAAATAAAACGATATAACCACTTAAAGTTCAATTTTCAACACTGCGAAGTGGCTTTCTATTTTTATCGCATCTCTATTGGAGTTTGCCAGTCAATATCATGAACTTTTGCCGGTCGCCCCGCAAAAACAAACGAAACAGCTCTTTACACACGAGAGTATTAACGTCCTGGCTGGATTATACGGTGTTGTTTGAAAACGCATTAGGTTAATAGGTTAAATAACTTCCGTTAAAACGTTCTGTATATAGATTATCTGTTTCAAGGTAAGATAAGGCAATTATATAGTAAAACTTAGAATATGGAAAGCCGTTTTACATTCCTAATTAAATTCTGATTATCCTTTTAGTGGTGGTTATTTGAGAAAACAAAACATTGCAGCCTTTTAATGTACAAAATTCCGACTATCTGAACGTCAAAATTGTATGCATTTACGTATGCACTGGGTAGGTAGAAACTACAGCGAGCCACCCACTTAAGATCCTCACATACTTGGTTAGGTTACATCACAATCACAATAAGTAAATACAAAAAATAAAGAGATAAAACTTATAAAACGGGTATTTCCCCGCACTCCTTTCGAAACAGTACAATAACGTACAAATTACACGATAGCCATTCACTGAACAATGATCAAATAGCAATTAGTTACTTGGAAATATACCAACAACTAAGTAATGCAAGAACAAGCAATTTAAATGTGTAATCAGAGCGAGCTAGTTAATTGTAGTACGTTAACGTTACTATAGGATTTGGTGTAATTGTTGAGTTATTGTTAATTACTCACAACGCCTAGTTTACTAACCACGGCGTACAGTAACGCCTAATAAAATTAATAAAACAGCCGACGTAATAATGTGCAAATAAAACCAACATTTTGAGGTAATATCTGTCGTAAAATTTATCGATAGAACATCAAAATATTCAGTGTTAACTCTCTAATACCATGTAGGAAAACAATAACTAATGAAAAAACAAACAATAAGTCCATAATATCATTAGAAACAATACAGGGCGTAATCGAATGCGCGTTAGGCATTACACAATGAATGAAACGGTATGGAACGGTTCAGCATTTCAATAGTAATTATAGTCATTCACTACAACGCTAGGTGCAATTATGAAACTGTGTGAATCATTATTGTTTAATATAATAACTGTATTTGTTAAACTAATGACTGCTAATATATTCGTGTTTATTTTTATTTTATTATTTACTTTTATGCGTATGCGGCGTTTTCATTAAAAAACGCGTTAATTTTTAGTGTCTGTCAGAGTTAATACAACTTTCAAAGCTTCTAATTTTACTAAATAATGCAAATTAATGAAGTATTATTGAATGGTATTATTGATTTTAGATGATATCTTACGGTCACCAATAAAGAAATTTGCACATAAATAAAATTTACCCGCGTAGTCAGTAAATAATATTGACCAAAAATACCTTTTCAAAATGTACGTAATTGATATTCTGAAGTCGTTCGTATAATAACTACACAGTTTGATTGACGCATGCCGCCGTCTTATGGCGAAACTTTCTCTTCATAACACGTACTTTATACGAAATATACATGTAGTTTATTTTTAAAATAATGATGGTATGAACGAAACTTTACAAAGTATTCAATATTACATTACATTGAGAGATTAGTTCAAACTACATATAAAACAAGACGTTCAATTGCCAGAAAGTACCGTACAACTTATCGTATGGCAAGTTTCGTGAGTTGCAGCAACAATAACGGTATTAAAGTTTAGCACTAAATAACTTGGGTACTCCAATTTAGATTAAGAGATACGACGAAGAGCAAAATTACAAGTTTGTAACTGCCAATTAGCTTTGGTAATAGACAAACCAAAATTAATGGACAAATTAAATTTCTAAGCAAACCGACAAATATTGGAAACTAGGAGAGATTGGGGGATAGCAGCCGGGGACCAGTTAGCTAATCACGGATAGGACGTGCCCCGAACATCTCGCCCCCGCCGCGAATAATTAAAGCACACCAGTACGATTAAACTAATAATTTAAACTTTCGTCATAGCGGAGCGGAATTATTATTATTGCCGGGGAAAGTTTCGGGCGGCGAAACGGGAAAGTAATTCCGGGCGGGTAAGGAGGGAGTTTTCAGAATTCCAACAAACTTTTCCGGGGGCAGACGAAAACAGATTTTGGTGGCAAACAAAGAGGTCGGGCCACTGGTGTGAGTCCGGGGAGGCAACCCTTCGGGCAAGTTTTGATGGAAACCAAATAGGATTAGCGCGAGAAAAGAATAAGTGGAGTGAGCCCAATAGACGGCGGACGTCGCTTTGTTAACTTGCCACCCGCGTTCATTCGCGACCAGCTTACGAATTAGATGAACGACTCCGCTAGATTCGATCTTTGCTAAACTGTTTGAGTTTCTGATTGTGGACTGTGATTCAATTAAATCGGTGGCTGCTTACATAATTGTACGATTTCATTATATGAAGTAATTTTAGTGGGTTATTGTCAATAGTATTTCAGATATACACGGATAACAAAATAGACAAATAAAATAATGAATGACATTTACCTCGACTGCAAGGGTCCGTTGGCGATGGGACCCCGCATGCTATCCATACGCGCTCTCTTTGGCAGCATCTTGCGTTTGTCCATTTAAAGCGGCAAAGCCGCTTTAACCACCCCTACGCAGCGCGTCACCTGAAAACACACAATTAAACTATTAGAATACGAGAAACAGGCAGATCTTTGATTTGATGTTTTTATTCAATATGTTAATGAATCAATTTGTTTTAAAACGTATTAACTTCTCTATAGTAACATTTACTTTGTTGTCAAGTCAAGTTAAGCTTATCAGGGAGCTACTACGACTGAAGCCCGCACACCACATGTATATGTGAGTAATCAGTAAACAATAAACAATAACAGACCGCACCAACTATGTAAAATAGGGTCGACTAAAACAGATTTGCATACGTTTAGGAAAGTTGGAAACACTTACAATGCGTTACTAATGAAACGACCTTTTAACTAGGTCATTTATAATTACGATAAGCTAATTTAATGAAAAGTGCTTATCTCAGATATAATAAAGACAGCTATTATAATAAAGATAGGTAATTACACACTTAATTACTTTTGTGGATCGGAATCGAAGCATAGATAAATAATAAAATCCTACTTGTATATCGATTTAACATTATAAAAGCACGTAGCTGATTTTTAAAATAACAATTTACGATAACTGCAGCACGTGCAGAGTGTAGGTAAATACATAACACATCAAATACATTTATTGCTATGCACGCTCCAAGTAAATACGTCAACTCAACTGGAATTTAGTTATGCGTTACTTTATAGGTGCTGTCGATAAAGGTTAAGAACATAAAACTGCACCGTGTAGGACTTATGACGAACAAAGTTATACAATATTATCACTACAAGGTTAGTATTTATTAACTATCACGTCAAAAACATTGTGTAATATATCCACTCAGTTCATACCTATCTAATCACTCGGTGGTTAAAAAAGTAATGATTTTATGAAGAAATTATTTGGCATGTCAATTGACTTAACTATGATGGTATAAAAAAAATCTAAAATTTGCCACGTCGCTTTTTACCCTAGCTAAACTACCGCTGAAGTGATAAGTTCCTTAATGTAAGGTAAACATTATGTTAAAGTGCAAGACTGGCTTTGTTACAGATATCATATACTAAGAAAAAGTCGTATTGTATGAGGCAGCAAAAATACGTGTTATTTTATGTCACATTATATAGAAGATACACGAATATTTACCTAATTATTATTGATCATACAGTTATAATTCAATTGACAACATAGTCAGAATTTTAAAAGTCATGCTTACTTTTAAAAAGCCGTGTCATTACAACAACTTCTTATTGAATCATCAAACAATATCTAAATATACTCTGATGTAAAGTTTTTTCTCGCTAAGCAATACGTTGAAAAATAATTATGTATGCAATCCTACTTCATAATGTCTACAATTGAATATTTTATTGCAACTTCACTTACTTCACTATGTTTAAAAATAAAAACCTATTAACCACGAATCGTTATTATTATATCACCTATTCATTATGTAAATAATGATATCCATCGTATAAACGGAAATAATTTCATCATTTACTCGACAGCAAATGAATAAGTACTACATAAACTACATTGTAAAAGTTAAGAGCAATGTCAACGAGATATAGGATGTTTATTTTACGAGTAAACGTCATCCGAGTTGATGGAGCGAACAGGTCCCCTTTTCATGCAGATTATTCCAGTGGGGTAAACACAATTTCAATAATAACAAGACGAGAGAGATACGTCGGGAACCTGTCCCATCTTTTAAGAAATGTTATCAACTTCGCGAACAATGGCCAAGGTCAGGGACGATGAGGCAGGTATACTTGAAACCGGGTGTGCGTGTATGGCAAGCATCAATGTCATATGTATCAACAGGGGTTACGAAGACGCGTCTGTTATATCTGTCTGCCCTATGACATTGGCATCGTATTTATGTAACAAATAAGAACGTATTCATAATAATAAATATGAAAGTACCTATAGAATTACAAAAGTTCATTAATTGGAGGTCGATGAACTATGTTTCACCATTCACCTGTTTCACAATATTGTTATTTATAATCCATAACGACTTTATCTGAGTTACATATTTATGAATAAACACAAATTGTTTGTAAGTTATAAATAAATAATAGACAGGTTACCAGTAGTGGTCAAATGCCTGCAACAATTTTGAGTGATAAATGCACGTAATGATCGGTTCGGTCATAGAATTATAGTGCTTAGGCTGTCATTATGTGCAGTCCGTATCGTTCCTAATGCTATGTTATTAATAATAGGCGTATCATTGTATTTTAGGAATGTGATGGATAAGTGGCTCCTGAATAACATTAGGTTATGAATTATTATAACCTAATGTTATGAATGATCATAACCTAATGTTACTGAAATTATTCAGTGAGCATTAATGAATGATTAATATTAATCAAGTGTTGGAACTGTTGGAAGGATTAGACACTTAAAACTAAATAATATTAATAATGATAAAGTTAATGAATCTACTACTATGTGAAGATCATTTTGTTCCCATTTTGTTTTCACGCTACTAAAAAAATACTAATCAGTTTTAGATTAAATAGCACTATGAGGAAAACTAATAAATAGAACCAAAGCTAATTATTATGTTTTTGGGCTTACTCACATAATTATTTGACGAGGAACTCGACTATTCTACTAGAGTAGCAGTGCGACAGTCGCCACGTCGCGGGTCGAGTTCCTCGTCAAATAATTACATGAGTAAGCCGAAAAACATAATAATTAATTTAGTATGTCTCACGAAAGTTATAACATAAATATAGAACCAAAGTCTTCTGTCTATCGCTATAGCAAATTATTTGACATTCAAACCGTTCAGATATATCTTCGTCTATTAGGCGTCATCTTATCACAAACATCTTTATCTCATATCATTTAACTTAATTATCGGCGTATAATGAACTAACAGAGCAGTGTTTGACATACATTTCAAAATAGTTGCATAATTACTGTCAATACATAGGTGGTTGCTAACAAGTATCTCTAGTACGTTCAATGGCTCGCTTGTATTTAAATACAATACATTATTGGTAGTCGTTTGGCGTTATGTGTCGTGTGTGTATCACGAATGTCCAGCATTAGAATATAAAGACCTGTGCAGCACAAAAACCGGTACAGTGGGAATATTGTTTCATGAGTTCTCATGTTTTATGTGTGAATATACTATGATGAATATTTAGAAACGTTTGATGAGGTGACAATGATAGCACGATGAATTGAGACTCGTATTTTAATGGGCTTCCACCATAATTAAAAAATCTTAAAAATAACTACATGAATATCAAATAAACTTATCAAGTAATATTTCATATTATTAATTGATGTACCATTACGTCACAACAACCGTAATAATGAGTAGTAATATTCTCACTCAATTTTAGAACTAACTACGGAGCTATAAAAGCATATTCTTACAAATAAAGTCAACCCGCATCAAATTACCGAACCGGTCGTTCTCCAAACTAACGCTTAATACTATGTGCACAATAAAGCACAAAATAAACGATTGGCGAAGCGGCTAAGTGCTTGTCTACACTGTCGGTCTCCGCAAACAAGGTCAGACGTCACATAGTCAGTAAAACAACCCTCTTAACCCCGATATACTTCTGGTTCAGTAACTTTACCACAAAATGAAGCATTAAGACGAAAAAGAAAACGTTGACAGGAATCGATTAACCTACATTTAGTTATACGAAAAAGACAAATACGAGGGAAGAAAGGCTTTTGTAGTAAAACTCGTGTGTAGCCTGTATTTATTGCTAAACAAAACATAGAATCTCATTAAAATGCGGATTACGGAAGGTGAGGTGAATGCCAAAGGATGGAAACGAGTTTGTTTGGTATACAAACCAGCTGTTATGCCTTGTGTGCATCGATCAGATAATTATGTTGTTGGAATTACTGATAAACGTTTTTACTTCATTGTATATGTAAACAGATTTACCTACTAGGGTAGGGTTCAATGACCAATCCCCTTTAGAATTTCTACGGTTTAACTGTAGGTTTTATTTGCCCGTTATGTATTGTATTAAAAGTATCAAAATTAGCCTTAACTCTACTCCCGTACAAATTAAACAATGTAAGTATTTAAGGTACGCGATTAATTCATTCAAATATCTAACCGAGCATATCTCGGTTTCGGCATAACAGTGTGGTCGTGTAAGTACAATAATGTAAGGTAAACTATACGAAAACTATCGTATATCCTGGCACAAGGTTAGTTGCTCTCCAGGCCGTAGCGTCTCTAAGTGCTCCCGGTCGCTCCGAGTCGGAGTCGGGGGTTCGGGGCCGCGCCACCACATACGGCAATAAGTTACATTTAACGATCGCAATACCACATACGTAGTAGCTGGCTAGCGTGGCTCTGTGTAACTATGTATGCCGTACACCGGAACCCGGTTACTGGGATTGATTTTATTACAGAAATACATACCTTGTAACTATAGTAAGATGATTATACGGATTGAGGAAAGCTCTCCGATTTGGTGTTGGATACAATAATAGTAATGATTTAATTGGTGTTATTTTACACTTATTTACAAAATAAACGAACTATAAACTATTTATACATAGCATATACAGAAATTTATATTTGTAACTAGAAGAGAATTAAAACAGTGAAATGAAAGTATTGAATGTTTTGCTGTAACATCATAATTCATTGAGGTTTATGGAGATGTAGTCGAGTTTGTTATGTAAATATTGTTACAATTAATCTTCACTTTACTAACCTTTGAGGTCATGAAGTACAGAATTACAGATTAATTGTTACTCGTGAGATGACTACGCAACCATGCCTCGGTAGACAAGGAAAATAACTATGTACATAGTTTGTTATTCCGTAGTGGTCTCGTCTAATTAATTTGTACTTACTGTTAAAGGCTAAATATGTATTTAGTCTTTAATTATATTGTATGGCTATCCTAATCAGCCGTTTAACTTGTCAATAAAGTTTGAAATTGTGCAAATACAAAACTACGTGTTTCTAATATTGTCCTTTGAATCAGGTGGTATCTAAGTATTGCGTACAATTAGAATAGCTAAATTATATGTACGAATACAC